AGATGAACCATTTCTCTGAAATGGTGACTTTTAATGCAAATTATGTTCTCCAAGCTGAAAAAAAAAAAAAAGAGCTAGTGGAATTTAAAGAGCTATTTTGGTTTCATCATGAAAGGACAATTCCACAGCACATAAAGATTTCCAGGAACTGAAAGCAAAGCTGAAAGCAAATAGACAAATATATGTATTTTCCATCTGCACTATTTTTAATCTATTACTTTAAATTCGTATGCAGGCCCTTTTAAGAGTGCCAGAAAAAAAAACCAAACAAAAACATTTTCCAGTGTAGTCGGTGGGGTTTCAAATCACTGGAAAGCACACAACTTCCCTCTCTGTGCTGCATGTAGAAGCAGCTTTTTCCAGAGTGTAACTTTTTACTGCATTCATTCCTAGTTGGAGGTTAACTTCATCCTACATCAACTTTTAATAAGGAAAGTAATAAGAAGAATAGTACACAGAAGAGAAGGTAAAGCCTACAAATCCTTATGCATTTGCAAGAGACAATAGGAACTGGGACTCCTTTGCCAGCATCGACAACAGCAAAAGTCTGCACAACACATTCCAAGTACTGAACTTTATTGCAATTCAATAAATCACACAAAAGGCCTCAGTTTTTGTATTCCATGAAAACAAACAAGTTACACTACATGGTTATTACAGACACACAAAGTCATCTTAAAGCCAGTGCAGTATAGAACAGTACTACAATCATAATACCGGTTTGTAAGATTGAATATATATATATATACACATTTTTTAAAAGCCAAAACCACGGGAGTGGAATACATTAGTGATTAAATATAAGATTATATGGTCTATAGCAGCTTTCTTTAATATTCAACTACTCTATCTAGTTACCTAGCAGCATCATTGTCTAATGACTGTTAGACAGTTGTATTTTCAATCAGTAGGTGTTTTGTTCCAATACTTCATACAGACTGTGGGTATCTCTAATCATCACGTTAGCAAGAACAAGCACGTTCCTACTTACAGCCTTACTGATGTTTGCAATTACAGTACTGCAACTTCAACCAAAAAACGTCACGTGTTAATTGTCTCCTTCACGTTAGACAGCACGAAACAGGCTGCGTACTTCATTAGTTTGTTTTTTTTTTTCCCCTCCAATACAGACTCTCAATGCGTGGAAATTTCCAGGAGGTCTGTCTAATCCAGGCGAAGACATTGGTAAGTCCTAGGATAACAGGTCAGACGGCAACAGAATCACAGTCATTGAAAGTACTGCAATACATCGTGACCCACACCACTCCTATGACTAATGGCTCCTCCGAATTAATGAAGTGATCCGATCCCCTGACCTTAATGCTAATGGGTAACATTACGTTCAGGGCAGAGAAGCTTTCTATCTGTAACACTTACCCTTTTCCACAATTTCTCTTAAATGAGTGCATGAAGCCAGCGTATTTTTTGTAGGCTGGTTGGATATGCTGTAAGAGGAGCCAGAAGTGCGGAGGATTAAGGTAATCGGTACATAACCCAAATAAAACTGAAACAGAGAGCACTCAGCTCACACTGGAATCCAGGGCAGTGAGCTCAACGACATACTGAGCAAAAATTTCCAACTCTCCATTTTTATGTGCAAACCAGAAATAAATACACTTGCTTCCTTCCACCCTTGTTCATCTGATTTGTTTAGACTAAGAGCTCTTCGGCACAGGGCCAGCGTCAAGCGCGGCACCCCAGTCTTGTGGGCACCGACAGAGCCGTGAGGCACTCCTGTATTGAAAAACAGTGCCGACGGGAGGCAAGCGATCGTTTCTACCCTGCACAGCGGGCAGTGAACGCTGCTGCAGTTGTGGTAGAGGTGAATGAACAAGGGTGTTTACAAAGAGAGAGAAAACGGTGCTTTTTCTCCTTGTATCTCACCCCTAAAAATGATGATCCACAGACTGGTTAATTCTCAGATTATACTGCATTATTAGGTAGCTGTTGTTTTCAAAAGTTACACTTGCTCACATTAACTCAGCCCACCATCAGTACTCAGGTATGAATATATTCTTCCAATAACTCCGAAACGTCGCCCAGAGCAATGTGGCAGCTCTGGCAATGGGGGTATGGAGCCGAGGTTTCCTGTTCCGTACCTTGGACACACGCACGATTTTCAGCAGTCTTCCTACAGCAACCCGCGGGGGCTCGTGTTCCAGTTCGGTAATTCAATACTCGGAGAAGGTTTCTAGGTAGTGGGATTTGGCTGAGTGGTAATTTTTATTACTCACAGGTCACATTTTAAGTCTTTCTGTCAAACACTGATCAAATTTGTTTGACAATGCAAATACACCTAAGAGTGACATGGATTCATGTTTTCAGACGAACCCCAAACGCCCTGTTTGTGGTCTAGCCAGGCTCCCTTTCACTTCTGGGAGATACCAGAGGGATTTTTGTATTGAGGGAAAAGAATAACTACCAGTGACCACAGCTTCCCTAGAGGAGCGTGCCGAGTAAGCCAGCGGTCATCCCTCAGGTGAGATTCGAGCTGGAGCCTGGATGCAGGCATTGAGAAACACCTGCAAGGAAACAAGTCCCATACAGCCCCACTCCTGCCACTACCAAACTATGCAAGAGTTGCGGTTCTCTGCATCACATCTGAACGTTACGAGATATAAATTAGTGAAGCATAAAATACAATAGAGCTTAATTTTACTTCTTTTATCCTTACATCAAACCTTATAAACTCACAGTCATTCAAGGGACTAAACTTCAAAATACAATTAGAAGTTGCAATTACACTGCTTGAAGATCCTGCGGTTATATGAAGTGACAAAATGCGCGGCTGCCTACTTTAAGGAGTACAAACTGACTTGCGCAAGTGATTTAAATAGTTTCATAATGCAGATTAAACAAAGTGCACACATTTTTGTATTTGAGTATTTCTGAAACTCAAGCCCTAATGATTCTCCTGGTTAACTACCATTATATATTTTTCTATAGGTATACACAGACATTTAAATAAAAGGGACACAGACAAAGGCACTTCATCTAAAAGCAAAGCTGAAAGCTTAAATTAAATCCCTAATTATTTCATTTTCCTTACTGTAGCCTGCCTTAGCATTCCTCATGATCTGAGTTGTTTACCTCCTTTGACCACTTTTGTGTAATAGGGCTCCTTGCCTAATAATAAAACCACTTGCCACAGGGAGTCTGCTTCGCAACCGCTGTTTTAAACCAGAGGCCCGCAGAGGCCTCTCTGGGCAGCACAAAATGCAGTCCCACCGGGGGTCGGTAATGGCCAACGAGCGTCTTCCCCCATGTACTTCTTCCCCACAGGCCGTAGCCCTGTAACCAAGTAATACTGCAATAAAGTCACACACAGAACTGTTCTGGTGGCACCACGTCTTAACAGGTCTCCAGTCCCACTGAGACCTCCATAGACTTGGTGTAAACCTTACGCAGCTCCTTCCGTTGCAGGACGGAAGAGGAGCTGAGGCAGATGATGTGCAGAATCAGGGCCATTAACATTTAGTTGTTTGGCTTCTGCTGCATTAATCATCTTGTTTATATATTGCTAGGCAGCGTACATCCAGAAATCTCTTCAGTATTGGAAACTACCCCTAAAATGTCAGTTTTGTTCACCTCCAACACATCCAGCTTCCATAGGAAGGCAGAAACCTCCAAGGTCTTGTAAAATGTATTTCGCCTTTGGAAGTGAGCCAACACGCTGGCTTCTTACCGAAACGGTTCGACTGGCTGAAGCAGGTAACTGCCAAACAGCCGTATGCAACTACCACTCAAACAGGACACGACGACGAGTTCACGTAGATTTGGAGAAAGCCAGTATTTTACCCACCAGTAGCTACCCCAGGCAAGCAGGGCTGGACTTGACTACAATGAAACTACAGAACATGGGGAAGTAAGCGGAGTATCAAAAACTCTCCCATCTAAGTTACTACTCAAGGGAAAAATCCTCTCTTTAGAATATGGGATAGGAGGGTAGTTGTCCAGCTGTAACTGCAGTACACAGCCCCTCTACACCCTTGAAGTTACGGCTACTTCTGTGATGAGGAACACTAACACTCTGGTTGACATACACAAAATACGCGTGCTGCATGGATGGGGCATGTTTTCTGCCAGAACAGGCTACGTGCTATACTGGTATTATGGCCTATTTCAGATGTCACTACACAGGACGCACGTCGAGAAGGACGCGGTGCCAACTCGACACGCCTTGTGGCCAAGTGCAGCGACACTAAGCGATGCAGTCAAGTGACCTGACATACGTACAGGTGTTCAGCTGCACGGGGTCTGAGTCTGGGTAGAGGCAAGGAGAGAGACAGGGGCTAAGATTCAGCGGACTGAAAAGGGGGTGCAGTGCTGTGTTGGATGAAGAGATCAGTGGAGCCAGCAACCACCACAACGTCTGTTTCGAAACCACACCCTGTAGAGCGTTACTGAAAGTTTCTGACTTTCATCGTGTTGTAGGATATACGACAGGTAGCAATTAGTTTTGTTCAGGGACCAAAAAAATTAGCTTATCCTTGCGTCGAAACAAGAAGGTTGACATTCTGAAAAGCTTAGGAAGCAGAAGAGAGAATGCTTTCAGTGAGAAATTTTCCGTTATCAGAATGTTTAGAGCGCGTTAAGCTATTCTTACGTGCCTTGTAAGGATTGCTTTTCTCACCTAGGAGACACAGCAGTTCGAGAGGTTTTCGAAGAGACTGGCATTAAGTCAGAGTTCAAGTCCATCCTAAGCATAAGACAGCAACACAAACACCCCGGAGCCTTTGGAAAGTCAGATATGTACATCATCTGTCGCCTGGAGCCCTCCTCCTTCAAGATCAGCTTCTGCCAGCAGGAGTGCCTGAGGTGTGAATGGATGGACCTCGAGGAGCTGGCTAGGACGGAACATGCTACTCCCATCACCAGCAACGTAGCTAAACTCTTACTCTACGGATACCGGGAAGGGTTTAATAAGATTGACATAACCATGAGAGAGTTTCCAGCTGTCTACACAGGCCTGTTCTACAAACTATACCACAGGGAGCTGCCCGAGTCCTACCGCAACATTACGTGAGAGCAATACATTTCACATTTCATTACATCAATAATTTAGAGTTACCACTGTAGTGTTACTTAGACTATATTAAATTTATCCATGGAGTACTGTTTAGGTAATTATTAGTAATTATTTACTCTGTCCTCTAATAAGCTGTAGAGATATAAATTATTTTAAAGGCAAATATTGCTGTAAGTGTGCATAAGATTGGTTTTCCTTTACTCCATAAAGCAAACATAAGGTAAATAAAATAGCTCTACGCAGACACCGAGCAGAAAGCAGAGGTGTTACTGATCCTGAAACATATATTTTCCAAGTGATTTTAGCTACCTACACGCTGGCACAAGAGGTCTAAAGAGCAATATAAAGACAGTATGAAACATTTGTGGTTTAATCTGCTATCTGCAAAGGTAGTTAATATCTGCAAATAAGTGCTTATAGTTTTGCTGCTTCGGGGAGCAGCAGGAAACTCGATGTCTTCAGTGTAGGGTGGCGTATGTGCTCGGAATCCGCCATGGAAATCAGCTTTTGGCAGACATGGGAAGAAAAAGGATAGCTTTCTGTCCAGGTCCAGTTTTTGGTCCAGGTTTGTACTGTCCAGTTCTTTTCAGGGCCACATACCAATCAGAGTATTTCCGTGATCGGTAAGTGTTATAGTTATTAGATTCCAAACGCTCAAAAAAGAAACATTCTTCTGTTGCACATTTCTAAAAGGGAAAAAGAAACGTGTTACTGGTATTCCATCGCCACAAATAAATTCCTCGGATTCATGGGGCTAACTTATCAAGAACATACATTAGCAACACATTTGCTTTTAAGAAATTACTATGAAATGTTTCCTGTGTAAAAAGAGTTATTGTTAAAATACAGTTTTTAACTGTGATTCATTTACTGTCTTTTACGTGGACCAAGCAGATGTTACTTTGTTTCTCACTCTGTACTTCTTTGTTGGGATCTGAACTCAAACAAGAGAACCCTGTCCCTTGGCACTTACTGATGGAGCCTGACTTCCAGGCTCAGCAGTTTTGCCATCTCATCCTGGCTTATGATTTAACTGAGAAGACAGCAGAATGTGAAAGAAAAGGGAGGATTTCCCTCACCTTCCTCAAGCCAACAACCTTCATGTCAGCTGGAGAAGCAGTACAGCATAGTTTCAGCCTTTGCCTATTCTGTTCTAACTCTGAGGTTTAAGTTTCCTGAAGCTCATTCCAGTCTGTATTTACAGTGCTCCGTAACAGTGGCAAGCCTACATCTGGCCAAGACATTTTACAATTCAAAACCTTCTAAGTCATTTTAAGGAAAGATCGGACAGGGCAAAGAGGTCTTCTCCACACAGAAACCAAGTAACAACACCACCTAACGTGGAATTACTGTGCCTTCACACACTTACAAACAGAAGGTGGTTCTTCATACAAGGGGTAACTCCGTACAGTAGGAACTTGCCGTTTCCCCCAACTCGCCTGAGCTGAAGTCGCCTTTGGACAAGCCAATGGAAAAGAAACTCACTGCAATTTACTAAACTAGGTGAACACTGTTCCTGGCTGAGAAAGCCCCAAGGCTGAGGTTGGTTGGAGGAGACCAACGCAGGGCATCACGCTGCCTGTCCTCTCTTACATGCTGCCTTTGATCGCCACCACAGAGAAGGCACCCAGCAGCACAGGAAGCCCTTGGAAGGCAAGCGTGCCACTGATGAACGTCGTGACGTCCTTTCTTCCGCAGATCTCTGCACGTGGCAGAAAGCGCTGCTCCCTCGGGGCAAGCATACTGCTGAAACAGTCTTCATTCTCATCATCCCACCCCTGTCACTGAGATCATGCAAGGTGGTGGGCATTATCAGCTGCAAGCCTTTAACCCATGAACTCTCCTGGATGGTTACAACTGCCTGCCGGACTTAAACCCAAGCTAATTTAACTATGACCGGTATTCATAGCTGTTCAGAATCAACAGAAAACAGGGACGTCTGTTCACCTTCTGAAACCCACCACCAAGAAACCACATGGTTCCTCTGCACTGAAGGAGCAGGAGGACGCACAAACAGCTTCAAGTAAGCCCTCATTCTGCAGGAGGAGGATCGCTACCGGTGTTTAACTGCATTTATCCCAAGGCACATTCCCAACAGCACAGCCCCTGTCAGGGGGTACCGCTGCTCTCACAGCAGCTAACCTGCCTGCAGAACCGGCCCGTAACGCAAGAGAAATTATCTGCTCAAGAACTAAGACAGCAGAAGCTCAGCACTGCAGGAGCTTAGTGGAACGGGCACCTTCGTGTCACATACACCATCTGTCAGTCCATCAGTTCAGTCATACTCAGTTACCCAGAAGACGTTTGGGAATGCCAGAGGAGGAGAAAAGCAAGTTATTAAAAAGAAAGCATGTAAAATCTTGGAGAAGAGACAGGGAGTGTGAAGCCATTCCCTAAACAAGCAGGCTACTCGGTTACAATCTTCTGTTAATGTTCATGAAGACATAAAGTATCCAAGTAGAACTGAAAAGCGAGCTTGGAACAGCCAGGCTTCCTAAGGTACGCACGAAAAGACACGAGAGCAGAGTAACTCCTCCCACGTGCCAAGTTCCTGTAGCTACAAGCAATTAAGTCATTCAAATGCAGTCTGGAATAAAGTGATCTGTCTCCTAACACACGTCTTCAAATAGAAGGTTTTTTCCTCCACTTCAACCATTTGCATATAGGAATTTTGGCTTCTAAGGGACTTAGAAGAGAAAATCCATATGCAGCTTCTCATTTCTGTAACTCCCTGGGATTTTTACGTTTCAAACAGCAGAAATCAAATTAACAATTTTTATGTGACTTGTGTTTTAAATAAACTTTCTCAAGATCAATCGTATTTTAATGCCTTTCATTCCAGCGATGCGCAAACAGATGCATCCATCATCTCAAGCCACAGAGCTGAGCCTGAGATGGATTACAGCGGCCTTAAGAGACCACAGAAACCATTTAAAGAAAAGAAGCAGTTAAGAACAAAACCAAACTTTAAGCAAAGTTTAGGCAAGCTCAGTACACTTGCCCAAGCTGGAAATTCCGGTGGGGAGACCATCGCAGCCGGCTCGTGCTCTGCCCTCGCCTCCCGCTCGGAGCAGTTGTGCCCCTGTGAGTGCCCAGGGAGGGAGGGCCAGGTACAGCTGTGGAGCTGGGAAGGTTGACCAGATGCCTAACGCCAGCGGGAACGGAGCCTTTGCCAATAGCCTGCCTGGCCCAGCTTCCACCTCCATGAGGAAGGAAGTGGCTAAAAAGGATAGATAATTTTTATTTTCGCATTCATAAAGACATATCGAAAGGTGCCACACGATTCGCTGCTGACACTCAAGTCCTTATTTCTCCACGAGGCATATGCGATACCAGCGCTTTCCTACCGTGCCTTGCCAGTGTAAATATTTTGACATAAAAGGGAACGCTTAGGTAACACATTATAGTTCCAGCTTCGTGAATTACGTATTCCTTAACATCTGCCAAAGGGGACATTTCGGAAGCTGGACTGCTGTCCAGCAGGAGCGGGATGGCGGCCACCACGCTGTAAACCTCAGCCCCTGGGAAAACACTGGCTATCAGTGGGGTATTTTTTAAACACTTTGGTCTAGGTCGCGTTCAAAGCGGTGATCTGGCAGTGAGAGTTTCACGGCACGTCATGAAATACCTGAACTCTACGTCCCTTCGTGAAAAGGCTCAAGGACGGGAATCACCTGGGGCAGTGGTGGGGAGCAGGCGCCGCCCGGCGCCTGCCCTGCCGCCACTCAGTATTTTGCCTGCTGCCAAGCAGGACCTCCATCCAGAAGTGTGAGCGATGAAGTAAAAGGCCGAGTGCAGGAGCTTTTAACATTCGCAGTGTTGGCTGTAGCCACGCTTGTAGCGGGGTCTGCCATGTGCCACCGCTTCCAGCGGCCACACTGTAAAAATCCTCAAGGTGATTCAGCCAGGGAAGCTGTTCTTCCTCCCTTATTTGCAAGGCCAAACGTCAACCGCTGACTGAATTTTCAGTGCAAACCATGTCTGCCGTAGTATCACATCATGCTAATTAATTTTGACATTTTGGACTCAGATTAGGAATTAAAATGAGCAGGAAACTGCTAAATTAAAAGCTGTATCATCCAGCTTTCGAGACAGGAAAACAACCCACTGTAAGCAGTGATCCACTGGCAGTACAATAAATCATTTTGCAAAACCCAACCGAGAACAAACCATAATGACACATCTCACCAAAGTAATTACAAAAACATCCAACTAGATAAAAAACAGGACCGAATAATAACTTGCAAAAAGTATTTTTGAAGATGTTGATACATTTGTGAAACGAGGACGCTGCGCAAAGGGATCCTTGAGACCGAGAAGTAATACAAAAGAGAAACAAAGCTGGTGTTACGAAGGACAAATGGTATTTGAGTGAGTAGTGGATTACAGAACTAACTCTACTGTTTTCAAGTAGGGTTTTAATAGAAATAACGCACTGTTTCATAAGAAGTAACCAAAGGTTTCAGCAGATACAAATTCATCTGCGCTGGTGAGATTGCTTCACCGCAAAGATTTCCAGCACATGCTCTCTCAAAGCTCTCACTGAAACACAACACTGCTCAAACTGAAAAAGAAAGGCTGGCAATTAGGAATAGTTTCATGAACATGTTTATAGGCAGAAAACAGTAGAGGCACAATTGGCCACAAGCTGTTGGGAGTCATAGCACAGAAATCCTCATGGAAAAACACTGCCTGTGCTGCAGAAGATGGTCAGGAAATCGCATGGTTGAAGAGCAAAATCTTAAGAGTAGAGAGTCTTCACCTAAGAGCAGCAAAAACGAGGAGCAGTAGGAAGCAGAGTGTGCAGTAAGCACGACTCAAGCAACGCCCACTGGCAGAAACAAAGCAAAACAAACGTTTTATAAGCTCAAGTGAGAAGCACAAAGCGACCCAGCTTTACCAGATCTGGAGAGAGCGATTCCGAGTGAATGGCAGATACTTTCCAAGCCTTACAAGAACTCAGCAGATACAATTGCTGCATACAACTGCAAAGGAAGCGCGATCGACAGCCAAAACCCACCACGCGACAGGAGGTTGGAAATCCCACATACAAACACACCCCCGTGCTCGTGATTTCACAAATGGCGTTGAACACCCTATTCTGACCATGCACTATGGCTCAGGGCAAGGAGGGCGATCCGAACGGAAAGCGAACGCCACCACACCAGCACCACAGGAAATTCCCAATTATCCCTTACTTCAAGAATAGCACAGTGCACAAC